AGCGCTCACCGGCTGCTGACGAAGATGCATCACTTTATACCTAGCCATGTTCAATTGGAGCTTGTTCCTCCTGGCTGTTCCCACGGACGCCGCGGAATTTTCCGCTACCACGCGCTGGATCCTGCTTTTTCTCTGGAATTACTGTATTTTACGTGTGTTGCTGTGTTAGTTGTGCACCAAACGTTTTAGTTTCGTGTGTTCATCAATCCGTGAAAGTTTCGTGGAATTCCGCTTGATATCTTCGGAGATCTCAGTGATTTACGGCTGTGCCCGTCATTTTGGAATTTGTGATCGACATCTTGCTTGCCCTCGTGCTTGAAAAATTACAACAACTATGCCGAATATCATGCAACGACTTATCTGCTCTTCAGCTAATTGCGGCAAAGCCCTTAAAATGGGTATAACGTGCCGAAACTGCAGTGGCTCGTTCCACCCGAGCTGTATAGGAAAGTCCGCCCAAGAAGCAAGGAAATAAACAAGGCAGCTGACGCATTTTGGTTTTGTCCAACTTGCCAGTTAACTCCAGTGGTCGGTTGTTTATGTGCACTCATGGAAAGGTGCGATACTTTGAATGCGACAATCGCTTATTTGTTGAACGCCAGGCTTGCACCACCGGCCGCGAATATTGCCATGATTGTACCACAGTCGGTCAAAGAAAGCTCCACCTCGAGGTCGAAAAAAAGGGCTAGACGCTCAAGCCGCGCTGCAGCCTCAGTTTTTCCAAATCCCTTGCCTCACTCAACTCCCAAAAGCGGACGAACATTCAGAGTACTGAAGTCCACACCTTTGAGTCACACGCCCCACCTCCATTCAACAGCAACCGCGGAAGCTCCGGGGCAAACCTCTTCCGCCGTAGAGAAAAGTCGGGCGTCGTACGCCTCAGTCGCCTCCATGCATTCACCGGCTAAATTACCTCCGACTCCGGTGGCCTCACCAAGCAACAGTAAGTTGACCAGACTCCAACAACCAAACAATCCGTTTAACACCGTGTCTGTAAGTCATGGCAAATCTGCATCCAACGCAAGGAGCCAAGGCGCGTTAACCGTGGTGTGTACAAATGCTCCTGAATCACAGGCGAGTACAATAAAGGGGAAGCTGTTGGATGATCGTAATCAGTGGAAGTCTATATGTACTGCGATTGGCATTTCGGTTGAACCTGCAATGCTGAGACGAGTCACACGTCATCCAAATTCAGCGCACTACGGTGAACCCCGACTTCTCCGGGTGACACTAAACTCCATCAAGGACACAGAGGCAGTCCTACTATCGTCCAACAGGCTTCGTCATTCATCACTCGAGGCGCGCATACTTCCTGATATCCCCTGGAACGAACGTCCGAAAAAGATAAGCAACCGTGAGGAAGTTCGTAAAGCCGAGGCGAAACGGACGATAATTGTGTACGGGGTTCCTGAGCTCCAAAATTCAACCTCTGATGCAGCGGATGCACATGACCGGGAGCAATGGAGTTACATCCGCCACGAAATCTCCCTCAATAATATCATCGCTAAGCGGTTGACCAGGATTCCATTTTCACCCAACTACAAAGGGAACGGTCCCAGATTTATGAAGGTGGTGCTTCAATCTGAGTTTATGTTATCGCTCGCCTTGGAAAACTGGTCCAAATTCCGCATGAAGCTGCCAGCTGAAATTCGGTTAAAGGCATCAGGTACGCTGCCACGGATTACCAACGACTCACGGGGAGCGATCAAATTGTTGAACCATCCACTCATGCAACTTTGTGAAGGCATAGATTTATCGACAACCACAATCTCCCACGAAACACGGCTGAACACGACGGACCAGCAGGGCCCGGAAGGCCGCGATCAGTCGTCTAAGCGAAAGCAAACTCAAAGGCAAACGTCACCACAAAAAAACGGTTAATGGCCGACCCGTTAACGGTCGGCACAAACTCCATACCTACCACAACCTGTGCTAGCTCACTCTTGGTTACAAAAGCACTATCCTGCATGTATACTAATGCACAAGGCCTCATAAGTAAGTTGGTAGAACTCCGTCACCGTTTGGCTTCGGAGCCTCGAGACATCATAATGATCGCCGAAACCTGGCAGAGCGGCGAAATCACAGACGCTGAGATTGCCATACCGGGTATGTCACTTCTCCGGAACGACAGAACGGGCAAGGACGGTGGTGTGCTCATTTATTTCCGAACGAACCTTCGTTGTGAGCTCATAGACGATCCCCAGCCTTGTGTCACCGACGTCCTTTGGTGCAAACTGTGGTTGGAACGCAACGACGTACGCCTTCTCTCTGTGGTTTACTGACCAACGAAATCCACTCCGGAAAGGGACAACAGACTTATCTCCGCTTTTCGCTCCGTGCTTAACCAGAAGTATAGCCACATCCTCGTTGCAGGAGATTTCAACACCAATGACTTGGAAAATCCAGCATCCGAGACAGAAGTGTTCAAGGCATATTTGCAAGAGCTACTCTCTAGCACCTTCTTGTATAACCACGCCACCGTTCCAACCAGGTTCGGAACAGCAAACAACCCATCGATATTAGATCTAGTGCTCACTAACGAAGAGCTCATGGTCGATGGACTAAAGGTGTGCAGTCCTTTGGGCCGTAGCGATCACGTGACTTTGCAGTTCGATTACATCTGCTACGCCGAATATCCAGCTGCGGAGCTCGAAACGAGGCAATCTGTTACCCATTACCACGTTCTGTCTGCTCTAATTGAGAATACCAGTTGGACGTTTCTAGCTAACTGCACCCCAGAACTAGCCTGGGAGACATTCGCGAACACCATCCCGTCACTAGTCATAGAAGCCTCAACACCAAAAGTTTCCCAACATCCCCGCACAGCGAAATCATTCTTGCGAAGCCGGACGCGAAAATGCATGGCTCTAAGGGATCGGGCATGGCGCATGTATAAAAGCAACCCCAGCGCAGAAAACTGGACGGAGTACGTTTCGCATCGCAACTACTGTGTGCTTTTGGTTCGCGAAGACAAGAGAACGCATCAGCAGGAGCTAGCCAAACGATTCTGTTCGAACAAAAAGCTTCTTTACAAACATGTGAATGGACTTCGCAAGGTGCAACGGGGAATCCCACCACTTAATACGACCAATGGGTATACACATACTGCGAAGGAGGCGGCCAAAGCATTACGGGCCCAGTACTCCCCAATCTTCCAAGGTGTACAAGCCTCGACGTATATTCCGCCACTAGTCACCCCAACGTCCGTTTTATCCAACGTCACGTTCACTGCAGAAATGGTGCTGCAAAAGCTGCTATCCTTGCGTCCACACAGCTCTCCCGGGGCCGATAACATTCACCCGAAAACATTACAGGTAGCTGCCATCCACTTGGCCGAACCACTAGCTGCATTTTTTCAGCGCTGTTTCGATGAGAACATCGTACCTTCGAGGTGGAAACAAGGTGTAATAACGCCAATATACAAAGCAGGAAGTCGATCGGATCCTGCCAATTACCGCCCCGTAACGCTTCTGCCTGTGATCGCCAAAGTCATGGAAGCGGTGATAGCAGACGCGTTAATGGGATAATTGGAAAACTACGGCATAATTGCGCCAGAACAGCATGGGTTTCGTCAACATCGTTCATGTACGACGAATCTGCTGATAACTCGTGACAACTGGACCGCGACTGTCGATGAGGGAACAGGAGTAGATGTTACATTCTTGGACTTTTCGAAAGCCTCCGATCGCCTGGATCATCGAGTCCTGCTCAGTAAACTCCAACAGTACGGTATCGGAGACCCGTTGTTAGGATGGATCGGTAACTTTCTCTCTGAACGGCAGTTAGAAGTTAGAGTTCGATCATCCTTTTCCGATCCGATTCGAGTGGGATGCGGCGTACCGCAGGGTTCGGTACTTAGGCCTCGTTTGTTCCTGATTTTCATTAACGATCTAGTAAGAGTTATTACGTCGCAATTCTTACTCTTCGCGGACGACCTCAAGGTTTGGCGGGCGATAAAACGATCGGACGACCATGAAGTCCTACAGCGTGACTTGAATGAGGCCTGGAATTGGTCGGTGAGAAACGCCCTTCCATTTAATGTGGACAAATGTCGCGTTGTTCATATCCGCCATCGACAAGTCCACGTCTACAAGCTTGGGGCACACGATCTGAAGACCACCACTCAGGAACGCGACTTGGGTGTGCTGGTACAGGAAGACCTCGGGTGTTCCAAACAGTCAGATTCCGCTTCTAAAAGGGGCAACCAGCACGTTGGACTCCTGCGAGAACATTCGGAATTTTGGATCCATCCATCTTCTCTTTGATGCTGAATACCTACGTGCGTCCTCACGTCGAATATGCAATCCAGGCCTAGCGACCCTGGCTAAAACGTGACCTTGCAGCGCTTGAGACCCCACAGCGTCGAGCAAGGAAAATCGTCAAGGGCTTGCGCCACACTCCTTACCAGGAACGACTGGAGATACTCTGAGTGTTCAGCGGACGGTACCGGCGACTTCGTGGAGACCTCATACTGGTGTACCAGATATTGAGCGATCCCAGTCACGTATGCCGCCACCTCCTGAAGCTCAGCCCGAAAACTAACCTTCGCGGTGACAGTTTAAAGCTGAGCCATCAGTACAGTCGTCTAGACTGTCGGAGAACCTATTTCTCCCTCTAGGTCTGCGGGCCCTGGAACGCCCTTCCAAACTCAGTTGTTTGCGCCCCCACATTAGATACGTTTAAAAAACGATTGGACGTCGCACTGAGCGCCCTGCGCTTTGTTTTATGAACGAAAACGCTTGTATATATTTAGGCTGACCAGCCTCTTTGGATTTATACCCAAAATTCACAGTCGTAAATCTGTGCGAACCGGTGAGTACTCCAATTTTATTTGCTACCATCACCAACGATAACAATTTCTTAGCCAGTTTTGCGTCGTACCACTTTATCCCCCTAAAACTGTTATACTTCTACCTTTTATCTCACTGACGCTCCTTACTTCAACCACTTATGTGGTTTGCCAATCTGTTATTATTTCTATTGCCAACCTGCGGGACTCGTTATGTGTATGCTTTTTTACCCGTCATATACCATTGTTCCATTGTTCCATTGTAAATGCAATCTAATTCATGTTGGAGCAGATCCTGATCTGTCTTGTTACTAATCGCCCGCCATATCTTGACCTCATCGGCGAAAAGCAGGAAGTTTGAGGAGATGACTCTTACCAGGTCGTTGATAAACACCAGGAATAAACGCGGTCCCAGCACTGAGCCTTGTGGGACACCACATTCCACCTCAATTGGGTTAGAAAGTGATCCCCTAACACGTACTTGGAGCTTTCGTTGGTAAAGGAAGTTGCCAATCCAACCAAGTAAAGGATCTCCGATTCCGTAACTCTGAAGCCGTTGAAGTAGGATGCGGTGATCGAGGCGGTCGAAAGCTTTGGAGAAGTCCAGATAGATGACGTCGACTCCGACCCCATCATCGGCCACTTCCGTCCAACTACCTCGTGCAATCAGTAGGTTGGTGGTGCATGACCGGTGTTGACGGAAGCCATGCTGTTCCGCTACCAAGATGTTGCATTTTTCCAGGTAGTCCATTAAAGCCTCAGCGACGACTGCTTCCATCACCTTCGCGAGCACAGGGAGGAGAGTCACTGGACGATAGTTAGCAGGATCGGAACGGCTATCGCCTTGAAAAATAGGGGTTATAATGTCACACTTCCAAATAGTGGGGACTTGTTGTTCATCAAAGCACCTTTGAAAGAACTGTGACAGTGGTTCAGCTAGCTTGGTGGCCACAGCCTTCAGTGCCTTCGGGCGGATGTTGTCTGCTCCCGGAGAACTATGCTCACGCAATGAAAGTAACTTCCTTTGCACAAATGATGGGTTGAAAATGACATTTTTAAAAAGGTGTCGGTAATGTGCTTGATATTATGGGACAGGTGGATGTTGCGAGTTCAAAAATTGGGGCGTATTGCAGCCGCAGGGCATTAGCTGCTTCTTCGGCGCTTTGTACTCTACCGCCTGTCGTGAATAGTGGGAGTATTCCATGCTTCACTTTACGAAGCTTATTGACATGCTTATACAGCAGTTTGTTGTTTTCCAGAAACTTTTTGGCTAGGCGCTGTTGATAAGTTACTTTGTCCTCACGGACAAGTGCAGTGCAATGGTTGCGATGGGTCAGGACATTTCCCTAATTCTCTGAGTCGGGGTTAATCTTGTAGGCGCGCCATGCTGCATCCCTTATCGCCAGGCATTTGCGAGTCTTACTCCTTATACTTGAAGGCATTTTCGCGAGACAAAGAGGTTTAATCTCGGACGCTTTATTGACGATGTCGCTGAGTTTATTAACGAACTCTGCCCAAACGTTGTAAAGGGGACTTTTGTTTGAGAATTCCCAAGAAGCTGCGTCGGCGAGTTCTTTCAATACGTGGTAGCGTGTGATTGTATGAGTTAGTTCCGAGTGTTCAGATGGATACTCTGCATAACACACATATTCAAAAGTTATTACTACATGGTCACTGAGACCTAATGGACTATCCATCAATAACTTGTCAATCATGCGCTCTTCATTTGTGAGCACAAGGTCCAATATGGACGGTTTATTTACTGTCTTGAATCTAGTGTGCGTAGTGACATGGTTATACAAAAGAACATTAACGATCAGTTCTTGCAAGTCTGCTTTGAACTGCTCACTGGGCCATGCCGAAACCTCCAGATTGTGTAGATTGAAGTCCCCGTAGATGAGAATGTGGCTGTACCTAATGCGTGTTACTCTGATTAGGCCACGGATCAAGCAAGAATCCATTTCCAAAGTGGACGTTGGGGGGCGGTAAACGATAGCTATGAAACATGTATCGTTGTGTCTCAGTTGGAGACGGCACCAGAGTGAGTCGGTAACGTGTGTTCCCAGGTCCTTAACTATTGTACATTGTAGATAGCTGCGGTAGTAGAGTAGGACCCTACCTCCTCTGCTGGGGCGGTCGTTCCGGATGAGTGACATTCCGGCTATCTCAACCTCAGCATCAGTCACCTCTTGATGCAACCAAGTTTCGGTAATAGAAATTAGGTCCCAAGCATTCGCAACCTGACGTAGTCGAAGTTCGTTAATTTTACTGAGGAGCCCTTGGGCGTTGGTGTACATACATGAAAGTTTCTCAGATTTAATCAATGTTTCAGAAGTTGTACAACTCAAACGTGAAGTTTAGCCGACCAGTGAGTGGCCGGCGACTGGAGGGGTGGATGAAGCAAATGAGTTTACGCCGACCATTAAAGGGTCGGCGACTAATCGTTTTATGGATGGGTTGCACACTCTAGAGAAGTATTTGATATATAAGCCGGTATCAGATGCTCCGAATCCCGGTATTTGCTCGTGCTCTGCTGTGCCCCTCCGGATAGTATGGCTACTCTTGAAACCGTCCCCGAGTCGTGTCCTGCAGCTGGCGTTTTCACTAAGAGTTGTGCCTCTACTGAATCGTCATTAAAAGGTGTTGGTGTTCTTGCTGCTTTCAGATGAATTTCCGTTGGCAGTTTGCGACGGGATTTAATCCAGTTCGCTTGTAGTGCTTGTGGCATTTGTTCTGACTGTAACACAAGTTTTAAGAGCCTGGGACCGCATCCCTTATAGTTTGGTGAAATGGGGATCCTTGTCAACGAGGTGACCACCACATTTTCGAGAGAAAGAACCTCCCGGATGTAGTGCCATTGCTCGCTGTCATGCATCTGAGCATCGTCAGAGGAGGAGTCAGTAAGCTCAGGAACACCGTGAGCAATCACTGTTTTCTTATCTTGACTTATTCTGTACCTATCTTTGTTGGCGGGATCCCCTGAACGTTCTTTCCACGGGATTTCGGGTAGTATGCGCACTCCACTTGAGTCGTTGCGGAGACGATTCGCGGACAGCAGAACGGTCTCAGTCTCGTCCGCCGAGTTTAGTGTTACCCGAAGTAACCGGGGTTCGCCGTAGTGCAACGCGTTTGGGTGGCGCGAGATTCTTTGTAATGTCGTGGGATTAGCATGGACTCCGATCGACGTACAGATGGAACCCCACTGATATGTATGTATGTTGTGGATTTTGTTAATGGTTTCACAAACACCCAAACGGGCCCATCAATTCCTGTTTCCACATTACGCAAAAGAAGGAACGTTCGTTGGTCCGTCCATTTGTTCCGGTCACAAATGAAGTTGCATGTCCCGTGATTGGCGGAATTTCATTATATGTACCCACTATATAAAGAGCTGAAAATGTATTTTATTCTAAGGTTTTGTTTCTGCAAACCCATTTAAATGCTTGTTAAAATGTCACCCAAAATGAGTTGCACTATGTTTCCTCATGGTGAAATTTTATAACTTTTGTTTCAATGGATGTTTTCTGAAATGTTTAAATACCGTGTCTAACTTTCTCTCCCGGCAATTAGCCCCCAGTTACGCAATTTATACATAAGTACAGAGGCACTTATATATTCATTTACAAATTCTGTGCTCGAATTACCTATCCTGCTCTGTATAATTGAAAATCAAATAGCAAACTCTTCCCTTAAATAAATAGATAAACGTTTTATTCCTCAGCAGTGCGAGGCACAGACCAATTGGGTGGTCTTATTAACAAGGGTAAACTAGCTGGCACATAAAAATCCATTTTTGAATGAAACCTTGTATGTGTATGCAGGGGTATGGCACAACCTTGACTCCTTCTTCGTGCGGTCTACCCGCATACCAAATTTGAGCGTGACATAATGAAAAAGATCCAACGGCGTGGATCGAATTTCGTGTCTGAGTTACGTTACCCGCCCTATCCCCTTTCGGCTAGGATATATGAATCTGTTTTATATAGATTATCGTCGTCACCGCAAGGATTTGATTTTTACCCGACGTATCCTCAGGGGAGAACTGGGAACAGAGTTGCGAGAATTCTTACACCTTTAAGCTTGGGAGTTCGACTAGAGGCCACCGATGGAAATGTTCAAACCAAAGAGGCTCAAAGTACGGCCCATTCTGGCTCTGTCCACTCGCATTGTGAATGACTGGGACCAATTACCGGGACCCGTCGCTGATGCACACACGGAGTATTGCTACAATCGACTATTTGATTCCCACCTGTTGAATATACCGGGATCGTGTTGCTTCAGCTACGAGATTGAAGGCCTCTCCGGCTTCAGTTGTGTAATGACGCGAGCATCCTAGCAATGATCAGGAAGCGATGGCGCTGACAAGAATATCTCTACTGCTTTTCATTACCCAATAAACTAATGGACTCCAGGAACGCTGCACGAATATCTTTAACTTATCCAACCATTCATCCATCACATATATCGTGCGAAAATACTGAGTAGGAAATCATGTGGCTGGGCAAAGCATATACTGATTCGAATAGTTACGTGCAAATCAAGCTACATAACATGAACCCCCATATCTTAAGCTCATTATATTTGCAACCTGGAGTTTCTACTCCACCTCAGGGTTAATTTCCGACCTAGAGTCATTCGGTGATTTCGCGTTTTAAATATCCATGATTTTAGAGGAAACCGCCGTTCGCTTTAGGTAGGATCGAACTCCTGGGCCCTCGTTTATGAGACCAGTGCTCCGGTCACTGAGCTATGGAGGTAAGCGACCCGTGACAGACTTAGACAACTGAAGTTGCTTAAATCCACTGTAGGCGAAGTCTGCGTTGTGACAACTATCAGAGGCCAATTTGAATGCGCTCGATTACGGGCAGTCCATGATGTTGTATGGATCACGAAGGTTAGATCATTTGGTTGGAATCATGTATCCCGGAGCTGCATCCGTAGTCAACATGAGCCAAAATACGTAGCTTTCGGGTCCACCAATGCAGTGTGCTCCCAGTTTCAAATGTCACTTGACATCTGCAAATTATCTTTCGAATAGAAGAAAGTTTTCACTATCCTATCCGTGCAAATGGCCATAGCGAAATTAGCTGCCAATTGTAGGACAACTAGCTTGAAAACGATCACGTTAGAACGCTTGAAAAGCTCGTGAGAGATTAATTATGAGGTCACCTGAATCAAATTAATCTACTCAGTAATGCATCACATGGATTCCAAGTCCCACCACTTTACTGGTAGCGCTAAAATGTGCGCTGTTGCATTGAATAACTGTCAGGTGGTGTGCGTGATTTTCATGGTTTGCTCGAAATCCCTCATAGCATGTAGTCATAATGGCACAATTCACCTCAACTTCCTGATTTCTTACCTACTATTATGGACCACACTACTGTGCTGACACTTCTCCAACTGAGATGTAACAATGTTATTCACTAAGCCTGCCACTGCAGGATTGTCTAATACACACCGGCGCTGCATCAACTACCGCGATTTCAGCGGGATTCTTACAGGAATGCGGGCGCGCATCAAAATAATTTTGAAGTGCAAACCATTTATCTAACCCTCAATTGACATAGGCGCTTAGGGTTATTCAGCAATGCCTTTATCGCAAGGATCCGATACTCCGTTGAACAGTTGCAGCTCGTTTAGCGGCCATCATCCGAACTCCAGGCAAGACAGCGTGAATTATAACACGCTCATCATAGCTCAACATTCCACCAAATATTATCCAGGCCTGATCAGTAGCCAAGCGCTCACTGCCCGCACACGAAAGGTCGATCATTGGCCTCCGTCAGCCTTGTCGCCAACTGTGATGCCAATCGTAGGACATGGTCAACCGACATCGTGTGCCTTTCCAAACACAATCGGTATGTTGGTCGCTGCTAACGGAAAGACGATCGCAATTTACCAACGTGGCGGACACCTCGACATTATTCGGAACACAGCAACAAGGAAAACAATTTGTACAAGGTCCACGCAACCCCAGACAAAAATTCATGGCGTTTCGAAGTCCTGTTCCAAGACACCGCGAATTGACAGTTCATGTTGCAGCCTAAGTAATAAACTCCCCCTCAGGTGTATAAATTTCAGTGTGGGGAAAGTGAAAGGACGACGAGGAACACAGGAATTCATTTGGTTATCCACAGTTTGTGTGAGCAACCCAATCGTATGTTGTATCACAATGCTGGCACATTTATACGACTAGTTAATGGGGACCGTGTAGCATGCTGCGGCTGGTAAATCGACTGCATCGCAATCAGTTGTAGCAGACCTCCATTCCAGTTGCCTAAACTTCTGCTCAAACTTGTAACACAGTAGCTAAAACCAGTGTATCGTTCACAATATTGAGCCAGCAACACCAACCACGAGAAGCAGCAAACAGGCTAGTAACCAAGGTTGGCTAACCCCGCCGTCCATATGCTTACACAGTAGCATTTCTCGAGGTCATATAGTTTCACGTGAAACTCCATTCCATTCGCATTTACCTACCACTACCAAAAATCTGACAGCATACACATCCGTCATCACTGCATGCAGACTCAAGGGGAAGTTAGCGGTCAAGTCTGCAACTACTTCAAGGAGCGACAGCAATGACACGAATACCAGTGCGCTCACAATATGGTTGCCTACCACGCCGTCAGAGCTCTGGCGCATTCACCTTCCAGAAATTTTAATCCTATGAAGACGCGGTTAATGATAATGTCTTCTAAAGTGTCTCAGTTAAAGTCAAACACTATGAAAGACGGACTAGTATACGATCTAAGACATTAAGAATGCATATGCGAAACAATGGGAATCCAGACCAAGCAGGCTAGTTTCATTCTCATCGTCCGCTGCGATAACAACGCTCACTACATTGAAACAAGTCCACTACAGAGGACATGTAGGTATAGCGAATGAACATAGACTGCCCTCTGGTCATCTTGTCATATTCGTGACTCGTCCTGAGACACGTATCTATTCCCTA